AAAAAAATATATATTTATTGATTTTTTACAAAGAGGAAGGGAGAGGGATAGAGAGTTAGAAACATCGATGAGAGAGAAACATCGACCAGCTGCCTCCTGCACACCCCCCACTAGGGATGTGCCCGAAACCAAAGTACATGTCCTTGACCGGAATCGAACCCGGGACCTTCCAGTCCACAGGCCGATGCTCTATCCACTGAGCCAAACCGGTTAGGGCGCAGTGTTCCTTTTCAAAGGTGTTCCTCTCAGCAATAGATGAGGGCCAGCTATGAATTGGGTACTGCTCTAGGTACGAGCAGGAGCTCTGAAGGTGGCTGGCATTTAGATGTTAGCAGAAGACTAGGAGCCCATGGGAGAAGAAGAGAAGGACTAAAAAGCCAGGAGAGAAGGCATGTGTTTCCAGAAGGAGAGCCTGATCCAAATGGCCACTGGGTTTGGTTCAGACAATTAGGAGCTGTTAGGTGAGAGTAGTGTTAGTGGAGTGGCAGGAACAGGGGCAGGAAGCCTGGTTCATGACACTGGTTGAAAGTGAACTCAGCAACTTAGAGCACGCTCAAAGGGTGTGTCATACGCAGGCCAAAGGATTAATGAGACCCATCTGCGCAGACACTGCCATGAAGCACTGGCGTTTGGGGCTGGCATCTTTTTACACAATTTTGCCTGAGGCCTTAGACTTTTAATTAAGCATCTCTCATGGATAGGATGGCAGCTTTTTGAGTATACTACAGCAAGCGCATCCATTATTGTACTGGAAGGTTTATCAGCAATTCTGTCACCACCATCTCCAGGCCACTCCCCCCATCCTCACAACCCAATACAGGTTTCAAAGTCTATCAGCATATCAGCTGCAAGTCATTTTTGTACTTAGGAGTCAGCATGCACATGAGAAACAATGATGAATATCACAGCCATCTAAAGATGGCAGCAAAACGGAAATGGTATTCCAAAGAAAAGGGTATTACACTGAGATTCAGTCATCAAAGTAGTTTCCCAGAAAACAGTGGCATAGGAGGCTATTTATGGAGAATCCAAGTTGACACATAGCAGTAGGAATATCAGATTTGAAAAAGAATGAGGAAGGCTGAAAAAATGTTGGTGGAGGCTGATGGGAAACAGATATAAAACGTATATTAATCTGGTGCTTGGCTTGCTGCTTATTCCTTATAACAGCAAAAAAAAGACATTTCTGTGTATGGGCGGTACGATGACAATACAGGCTAATCAGCATACGTAAAAGAGTGAGCAGGCCTCTGCATGCCAGCTTCCAGTGAGATAACACGTCCAAAAGAGCCCTCTTGCTGTACGGTTCTGTCCTTTCGTTCTTCACACACCATCCCATGTTCAGGCAGCATGAATTATTGTGCAGAATTATAGGATGCCACTAGAAAAGATGGCAAAATGCTGTCATCTGTGTGTATGGGCAGCTGCACCTTGGCTGCCGCTTCGGTGCGGTGGGTAGGAGGAGATGGGGGCAGGTTCTTGGTTCTCTTCCTAACCTAATTTATTTCTGAGGAACAATGGGGAGAAGTTGAAGGTGGCACCGTGTGTCAGATCCCTCTGGCTCCTGCTGCCGTCTTACAAACTGCGCAGCCTCTAGGTATGGGCGGCAATGATTTTGGAACGACTCTGACTTGCCCTTTTGGTGTTGACAGCAATGTTTCTGACAGCAGATCTGAAAAAGAAACAAATCAAGGGAAGAGGGAGAAAACGCAGCCTGCATTTCCGGACGTCTCCTTGTTTTGACTTAGCCGTAACTCCGGAGAGTTGACAGACCATCTCAGTTGCCTCTAAGCACCAGCAGTTCTCTTTTCTGGTGTTTTAAAAATAGCTCCCAAATTAGAAGGAAATGCAGGGGTCCTCACTTGTTTTGACTGGTGCATGACCCAGTAATTATCAAATGTTCTTCGCAGGAACATTGTCTTGAGCAATCCAAAGAGGAGGAATGCGCTGTCACTGGCAATGCTGAAATCTCTCCAAAGGGACATTCTTCATGAAGCTGAAAGCACAGATCTGAAAGTCATTATCATTTCAGGTACTTCTCTGATATCCCTCCTCAGGGTGCTGAAGACTTCTCTCAAAATTCTTTTGTTGACTGGGGCAGTCCCTCAGTTAATGGGAGAATTGTTTGGAAGCTCCTTTACAAGAACATTCATTATGAAAAACTATTGTGTATTTGGAGGGCTTGGTCCTAACACTTACTTTTTTTCGTTGTTGACATTGTTTTTCCCTAACACTGTTAACTGGAAATTATAGCAAAGATTACTGTGCAGGGAAAATGTCTTTCCTTTTTGTCAGATACATAGCATTCCCATTGAAATCAGATAATTGGTTTCCTCATGGACCGGATAAGATGAGTTTAATCACTGATCCTTTGGGTAGCCTAGCAAGTCGATGGGACCAGGCTGCTCAAGCATTTGATTGGTTTATCTGTTCCTACCAAACTTTCAACCAATATCTGCAATCTTCTTCAGTTTGCTCATTTCTTTCCTTGCTCTTCTCCAGTAAAAGTTGTTAATGAATTATCTAGTGATGATGGTGATGGTCTAAGTAATATAAGTGTCAGCATTTTAAAGCATCCATAGAAAAATAAAATGGATGATACCCTGTGATGTACTTTTGTTGTTACAGAAATTAAGGGTTAGTATTTCTGGAGGCAGATACTCAGAATGTTACCTTATCTATGGTTGAATATAACTTTTCAACTGTTGAAAAGAAATAGGACAGATATCGTTCGTCAGCCACGGGGATGTTACCCAGATGCAGCAAAGACAATTAACTTCCAGACAACACAGTTCCCTCACTTGTTTAAAGGGAATAATATTGCCCATCAAAAGAGTCACAACAAAAGGAAAATATGAGAAAGTGTTACCAGCTTATCAGTGGAATTGCATTTTGTTGTTGTTAATCTTAACAATAACAATAAAACCACATCCTTAAGCCCCATGTTAAAAATAAAGAGGTTCTTGCATTTGCTGGTTTGGCTCAGTGGATAGAGCGTCGGCCTGTGGACTGAAGGGTCCCGGGTTCCATTCCGGTCAAGGGCATGTGCCAAGGTTTTATGCTCGATCCCCAGAAGCGGGTGTGCAGGAGGCAGCTGAGCAATGATTCTCTTTCATCATTGGTGTTTCTATCTCTCTCCCTTTCCCTTTCTCTCTTTAATCAATAAAAATATTTTTTTTAAAAAAATAAAGAGGTTTTCTTCACCCTCTGACCTTCCTGATTGCAGCCTGCACGGATGGCCATTGTCTGTCGACTAAACGACAGGGTCGCCGCAGAAGGCACAGTGGATTTTGATGGACCTACATGAGTCAAAAATTTAGGCCAGATCAAGTCCAAAAACAAAACTGTGAGACTGGAGGGACAACTCTGAAAGAAGTCGTCCATCTGCTTTGGTTACTGCATGTGTAATTGCACGTGTTCATTGGTTTCCACCACGGACCTTTTAGAGTACAGATGCCTCACGTTGAATTGTCATCACAAAATACTGGCTACAACTTTTCCAGTTAACTGGAATTATTCTTACCAAATTGGGCCATTAACTTTGTGTCCACAGCAGTGATACAATTGTTCATTAAAATTATTTAATTGACAAGTAAATGACCTTCCCAACTCTGCTGATTACAACTTTTTATTTTATTTTCTCAATTGGAACCATTTGCAGCTGAGGGACCTGTATTTTCTTCCGGGCATGATTTAAAGGAACTGACGGATGAGCAAGGTCCAGAATATCACACTGAAGTATTTCAAACCTGTTCTGAGGTAAGCCAGAGGACAACTTGCATTGCAAACCTGAAAATGATAATTACACACATTAAATATTGGATTAGGCTTCTAGTTTACAGGAAAGGTTTTATCTGTGAGACCTAACCACTGCAGAACTACTAAAACCTGTGGCCATTGGTGAGTCTTTCATCCAAGCAACAATTTGGTTTAGACTTTTAAAAAGCAACCATAGTTTGCTATTGATATGTGATATGCCAAAGATAGGGAAATATATGTTGGTATTGATAGCTGCCATCTCCAGCATCATGGGTATGTCTTGGTATATATGTCTTAAGAGGTAAAGGGTAGAAATGTACATCTTTATAGAGAAAGAACCTAAGATTATAATTTAATTTTTACTAAAACAGTTCTGTTAATGGGAAAGAGAGAGCATTCATAAATGGAATAACAGTAACCATTTAAAAATTCTGGAGACTTGCCCTAGCTGGTTTGGCTCACTGGATGAAGCATCGGCCTGCGGACTGAAGGGTCCCAGGTTCGATTCCGGTCAAGGGCATGTACCTTGGTTGCATGCACATCACCAGTGGGGGTGTGCAGGAAGCTGATCGATGCTTCTCTCTCATCGATGTTTCTAGCTCTCTATCGCTCTCCCTTCCTCTCTGTAAAAAATCAATAAAATATATTTTTAAAAAAAATTCTGAAGACTTATAAGGGGAACTGGGTATCACATGAGCAAGTTTTTGGCTGCTCTCTACCAATAGCACTGTTTTAGGAATTTTATTTATTACTAGAGGCTCCATGCACAAAATTCGTGCAAGAGTAGGCCTTCCTTCTCCTGCCTGCCAGCACCAGCTTCCCTCTGGCCGCTGGCAGGCATCTGGGACCTGGGCTTCCCTCGCAGCCCCGGCTTTGTCCAGAAGGCCGTCCCGAAGGATGTCTGGTCTAATTAGCATATTATGCTTTTATTATTATAGATTATTATTTTTTAAAATAGGTTTTTATTGATTTCAGAGAGGAAAGGAGAGGGAGAGAGAGATAACATCAATGATCAGGGTGAATTATTGGCTGCCTCCTGCACGCTCCACACTGTGGATCGAGCCCACAACCCAGGCATGTACTCTGATCGGGAATCCAACCGTGACCTCCTGGTTCATAGGTGGACACTCAATCACTGAGCCACACTGGCTGGGCTTTTATTTATTTAGATGACAGGGTGTTCCCTGCCATTTTAATAGAATTGAGAGAATATTCATGGTGGTAATTTGAGAATTACTAGAGCAATTGCCTTTCAGTCCCTTTTCCATCTTAATTTTTCAAGGAAATTCCAAATACCAGTTTCAGACCTTTAACACTAGCGCTCCACACAGGCTCAGTGAGAATAGAACCATTCCGCAGAGAATCAGCTTTGTTCTTTTGTGGGGCTGCTGAGGAAGCAGTCGGAGAGGAGGGGACTGCAGCCTCGAAGAGGCCAGGGGTTGGGAGTCAGACAGATGTGCGTTCAGACCCCACAGCCGGCACTTGTGGATCTGTGGCCTTAGGCCAGTTCCTTCCCCCTGAGCCTTGTGTCTCGGTTATAACATAGTGTTCCTTCCTCCTGGGCTTCTCAGGAGTCAAATGGCACAGTCTGGTCCACAGTCAATATTCAATGCAAGTTCTCTTTGTGCCTGCTTCTGTCCTTTTCCCATAGAATCTGATACACTAATGGGGATGAAAAGTGCTCTGAAAGCAGTAAAATCATATGAAATAAACATGAACATTGCACCTCACTCTTGGATGGATGTGAACTGGTTATGTTTGCTCCTTCAGGTCATGATGCTGATCCAGAATCATCCCGTCCCCGTGATCGCCATGGTGAACGGCTTGGCCACCGCTGCTGGCTGTCAGCTGGTTGCCAGCTGTGACATTGCCGTGGCCAGTGACAAGTCCTCATTTGCCACTCCAGGTGTGAACCTCGGGCTCTTCTGCTCCACCCCTGGGGTGGCCTTGGGGAGAGCAGTGCCAAGAAAGGTAATGTGACCCCCTGCAGCCTCTTCTGTAGTTGTAACCCTCATGTGCACTGGAGGGTTGGTTCCAAATTCGGTTGTTAAAGTACCATGTGAATCAGGATGTTCTGCACGAAGCATAGCTGGCTGGATGTGCTGCAGTGTTCCTTCTGACGCCTCTTGTCCAGCGGGGAACGCGCAGCTTCTCACAGGGCACTTCACTTCGTGAATCATGCATTTCGCTGTTGCCTGCCCCTCTATGTAGCTAGTTTGGGTTTTGGATTTTTTTTGTTTATTTTCATAAAGGCTCACGTTTTTTGTAATCTTATTTGAAATGCAGTTGAGACAGTTTTGTTGCACTCAAAAGGTGTCCATAACATGTAATAGCATGGTGACATGCCAGTACCAAGAGGCTAGGATATGAGTGTCGCTGGCTGATTGTTTGCTGACAGCCTGTCGTATTCTAGAAAGGACTGAAGTAGCTGCTACACTGAGTGTGTCAGCTTTACGATGGTTGTATTTCAGGAGCATGGAACTTCTTGAGCTCGGCATGTTGAAGCTGCCCCAGGAGCCATATTGTAAACGTTGTTTTGTCCTTGCTAAATCCATTTTCTTTACAAAGCTTTCTCCCTTCCTATAAGACATAAAACAATATTGAACATCTTGTGAGTAGAAACCAGTGGCTTTCTTGTTCTAAAAAATATATATATCTTCATTCTTAATTGGAAATTTTGTTTTTAAAAATGGTGGCGGGGGGGGGGGGTCATATCATAGGTGTCGTATACATTGTCGTATAGCAAGTAGGAAACTAAATTGCTTTCTAGGATATCATGTCCATTTAGCATCTACTACAAAAGTCAGCAGTTCTTCATATGCCTGAAGCACAAAAGAAACGAGACCCAGGCGAAATCAAGCCACAGGGATGGAGACATTTAGGGAAGCACTCCTTTCTTTCACGATGCTTCCTCATTCGTTTTTACAGAGGTGTGTGCTTTTGCAGATGTTCTGAATAGAGATACCTACCAGCACACTCACACATGAAAACTGGCTGAACGTGGGCTCCACAACTACAAAAAGTGGCCTGTCCAAATACAGAGCTTGCTGAAATGTGCTTAGCCCAAGGGGGTGGTTTCATCCTGTCAGGATACACATTGACTTTAAATGTGGGGGGTGTGTGTGTGTGTGTGTGTGTGTGTTCCCTACTTTGTGCCAGTACATTAAATTAAAATGAGTTCATTAAAAACATTGTCAGAGCTTATTAATGAACTATCTTATAATTGTGCAAATCAACTCACAAGGCCTTTTGCATACTAAAGGGTGGTTGTCTGGTTAGCCTATCTGCAACTGTTCATCTTCAACCATGTTAAGGCATTTGAAACCTTTAAATCATGATTGTCCTGTCAGGATAAGAATCCATTCTCTCTTAAAACAAACTTTTAAAAATCAAGGCTTATCATTGAGTCCTAAAAATGTAAACATTATATCATATTTGTCAAATTTAAATTAATTTTTGAGAAGAAAGAGAAGGAAAATGTGGCAAAAACAGGACTTCAGTTCCCACAAAGCCCAATTCTCAGAACCACGTTGCATAATTGTCCAGCATGAGAGATTAAGGGGCAGGGTGTTGTAAGACCAAAGTACTTTGTCCTCCCACAGAAAGTTCTGGCAGTGCCAGGCCCACTCAGAAGACGGGAGAGGATCTCCAGTATTGTCCCATTTGGATCCCTGCTCTGTGCTGCTCCTGTCCTGATCCCAGGAGGCCTCTGAATCACTAGTCAGGGGTAGCATTCTTGTTTTGAAGTCTTCAGAGTTTTTTCCAGTTGTAACAGATGTCCCTGCATGTGGGGCTACTTGGAGGCATAAGGCAGAGATATGGTTTCGGGTCAGTATTAATGAGCTGAAATCACTGTACTGATAAGGAGAATTTAGCGGGGTGAAAAGCCTGTTGGCACTCAAGGCCTTTGCCAGGTTTCAGGACTGCAGATCTTACCTGGGTGGCCCCTTTTAGGAGGAAAACTGGGGATTCATAAAGATCTAAACCTGCACAAAACACACCTACCTGTTGTCATTGCTTGATTGCACCCACAGGAACACATTCACACACAGACCTGTAAACTGTGTGGGTGTTGGGCACGTATCCCCATGCACATCCACAGGGAAGTAAGCAGGTGCTTTTGCAAACTGACCTAATTGGGAAACGTGGCCTTTTTCAGGCAGCTTAAGGCCACACATATGGGTCACCAGTACCCTCTGCTGGTCACCATGGAAAACTGCTTAGCTGTGCCGGAGACCAGGGCTGCAGCTGGTCCACTGGGAGCAGAAATGATGGCCTGGAGCCCTTGTGTTCAAGCCAGACTGAGCCTGGGCATGAATAATTTTCCACGATTGTAAAGTGTTTCTCTCCTCTGGTGTGAGTTAAATAATGTGTCTTCATTGCACCATATAAACAACCTGCCTGGTGCAGCTGCTCCCTTTGCCTATCTGAGCTGGCCTTGTTCAGAAATGTGGAGCTGGTGCCTCAGCGGGTGGCACCCCTGTGGAGCACATGAAAGATCCGAACCCCCTCCTTCCAAGCCAGTCATTTCTCTGCAGTAGGAACACTTGCTGCCGCCTGTTTACCCACGGTAACGTGTGTGTCTGTAGAATCTGATTTCTCAGTTGTCTCATTAGAACAGAGTAGAACTTCCAAGCTGGAAGGAGAGTTAAGGCATTGACCCTCAGCTGGTGTGCAGTTCACCAGAGCCTGAAGAAATGCAGGTCTCGGCCCCTCAGATCGACTGCATCAAAATCTGCACTCTGTCAGTGATTCCTGTGGCTGTCAGAGGTGCCTTAGTGCCTTTGAGAACATGCTTCCTCATTTACTTACTTCTCAGGTTGCCCAGCCAATTAAATTAGCCCGGTGATCCTGTCAGCTTCATTCCCCTCTGGGTCCTCCAGCATCCCAGCCCCTCCACTGCCACCAGCTGGTTCTTGTCATCGGTGTGACTAGAGGGGATCTGGAAGACTGCTCTGCTTTCTGGGGCCATGATCCCTAAAACACAGCATTAGAGATTCATACATGTTTATAGCTGGAATAAGCATGTGAATCATAGCCACTGCACTTACTAGGTGCTACTGAGTGCCCAGCGCTGTAGTATAAGCTGTATACATTGTCTCTCATCTTGACCATTCTGCAGGAGATGGTGTTCTTATTCCTGTTTTTCAGAAAAGGAAACAGACTCAGATGGGTTGAATTGTTCCCTTAAGATCTGTGGTTAGTAAGTGGCCTCAGGGACATCCAGACACAAGCCCCACCACCCTAGGAGTGAGTGTTGGCCTCCAGTCCTTTTTATTGTTTTTAATGCAAATAGCCCAGGAGGAGGAAGTATTAAAACACCAATTTGTTAGGGAGACCCAAGAAGTGCCCCCTAAAATGAACAAGAGTCGATTAGGGGAAAGGAGGTATTTTCTTCTCTCTCACCTGAAGTTTCAGGGGCCCAGTGGATAGTAAACAGTAAATAAAGATTGTTGCTTGTGCACTATAAAATAAACAGGCTTTCTTTTTCTTAGGGAATGCCACTCCATTACCTAATCTGCCTGGGTAAAGTCCCCATAAATCAACACGGTGCCAAACGGTATTACCCCACTAGGCAGGTGAGGAAACAGGCCCAGAAAGAGGCATAAGTACATGTTTATAGCTGGAATAAGCATGTGAATCATAGCCACTGCACTTACTAGGTGCTACTGAGTGCCCAGCGCTGTAGTATAAGCTGTATACATTGTCTCTCATCTTGACCATTCTGCAGGAGATGGTGTTCTTATTCCTGTTTTTCAGAAAAGGAAACAGACTCAGATGGGTTGAATTGTTCCCTTAAGATCTGTGGTTAGTAAGTGGCCTCAGGGACATCCAGACACAAGCCCCACCACCCTAGGAGTGAGTGTTGGCCTCCAGTCCTTTTTATTGTTTTTAATGCAAATAGCCCAGGAGGAAGAAGTGGTAAATCACCAACTTGTTAGGGGGCCCAAAAAGTACCCCCAAAATGAACAAGAGTTTATTAGGGAAAAGGAGTTATTTTCTTCTCTCTCACCTGAAGTTTCAGGGGCCCAGTGGATAGTAAACAGTAAATAAAGATTGTTGCTTGTGCACTATAAAATAAACAGGCTTTCTTTTTCTTAGGGAATGCCACTCCATTACCTAATCTGCCTGGGTAAAGTCCCCATAAATCAACACGGTGCCAAACGGTATTACCCCACTAGGCAGGTGAGGAAACAGGCCCAGAAAGAGGCATAAGCTAGGCATGGGTGACTTAGGAAGCTAAAGGTAGGCCAGGAACTCTGTCCAGGCCTCTGGCCCTGACCCTATTCCAGTCAAAATGTCTTTAACGAGCAGCTTTAAACCCCTTAAGACCTCCTTGGTCTCCTGGACAGAGAAGTGTCAGGGTAGCAGAAGCATAATCTAGTCTCGATTTTAAAACCATTTAAATCAGTGGTTCCAAACGGGGCTGCCCGGCCGGTGTGGTCCAGTTAGGGTGTCATCCTGTGCATCAGAAGGTGGCAGATTCATTCCCAGTCAGGGCACATCCCCAGGTTCGATCCCCGGTCGGGAGACAACCAAACAATGTTTTCCTCACATCAATGTTTCTCTCTCTCTCCCCCTCTTTCTCTCCCTCTCTCTAAAATCAATTAAAAAGTAAATAAAATAAACTAAGAGCAATTTTGGCCCCAGGGACATTTGGCAATGCCTGCAGCTATATCTGATCATCACAAATTGGGAGTGGGGGATGCTCCTGGCACCCAGTGGACAGAGGCCAGGGATGCTACCCTGCGCAGGACAAAACCACACAACAAAACATTATCTGGTCCAAAAGATACAATGGCACTGAGACTGAGAAGCTAGATCTAAATGCTCTCTCACCGGAAGTTTCCAGGGCCCACTACATAGAAACTTAAACAGTAAATAGAGTGTGCTGATGCGCTGTGTCTTATATATAGTATAAACTGTTCCCATTATCTCTCACTGCGTAACCACTATTAGTGACTCAGAACAACAGCAATTTGTTTAGCTCATGAATCTGCAATTCGGACAGGGCTCAAGGTCAGTGAGGAAAGCTTATCTCTGCTTCACAGTGTCTGTGGCCTCAGCTAGGAGACTTCAGGGTGGGGGAGTGACAGTGTAAGGCATGTTCACTCATGCTGGCTGTTGAGGCTGCCTCTCAGCGGGGACTCAGACACTTAGTGCAGCCTCTAGGCAGTGTGGCTTGGGCTTCCTCAGAGCAGGGCAGCTGGGTTCTCAGTCTGCGTTGCCAAGGGAAAGAGCCAGATGGAAGCTGTATCCCCTTTTGACCTAGCCTTTAAAGAACTAGAGTGCCACTTTGGCTGTACTGTTTGCCTTCATCCGTTCATTCATTAACTCATTCATTGATGACTATTTAATAGGTTGTCTGCCACATGCAAGGCATTCTTCTGATGCTGGAGACACAGAAATGAACAGAACACTAAAGACAAAACTCGTCCTGGCCAGTGTTTCCCAGTGGTTAGATGTTGACCCATGGACCAAAGAGTCATGGGTTCAATACCCAGTCCAGGGCACGTACCTGGGTTGCAGGTTCATTACCCAACCCCGGTCGGCAAGGGTGTAGGAGGCAACCAATGGATGTGTCTTTCTCACATCAATGTGTTGTCCTGCTGCCGCGCCCCCCCCACCTTCCACTCTAGCTAAAAGCAATGGAAAAATGGCCCTAGCCCGTTTGGCTCAGTGGATAGAGCGTCAGCCTGCAGACCAAAGTATTCCAGGTTTGAGTCTTGTCAAGGGCACGCACCTCAGTTGCATGCACCTCCCTGGCCCGGGCCCTGGTCAGAACTCATGCAGGAAGCAACCAATCGATGTATTTCTTTCACATTTCTCTGTCTTTCCATCTTTCTTCCACTATCTCTAAAAATCAATGGAAAAATATCCTCAGGTGAGGATTTAAAACAGAACACCAACCTCAGTCAAGGTTAGCCTGAGAGCATGATAAAGTGAGACCAAGCAAGCCCCTTTCTTAAAATAAATAAATAAATAATAAAAGCCTAATATGCTAAGTGCCCAACCGTTCATTTGCTCGTTCGACCAGTCGCTATGACGAGCACTGACCACCAGGGGGCAGACGCTCCGTCTGGTAGGTTAGCTTGCTGCTGGGATCCAGCCAATAGGGATTGGGCAAGATGGGCCGAACATTCCCTGGAGCCCTCCCACGGTCCCTCCCCAGCCCCAGTCGTGCACAGGTGGGGTCCCTCAGAGTGGCCTGCACCCTCTCACAATCTGGGACCCCTTGGGAGATGTTGGAGAGTCGGTTTCAGCCTGATCCCTGCAGGCCAGGCCGAGGGACCCCACCCGTGCACAGATCCGTGCACTGGGCCTCTAGTAAATAAATAAAAGCAATGGAAAATTAATCCTCAGGATAGGATTAACAACAACAGCAAAATAATCTCTGCCCTAGTCAAATTTACATGCCAGCAAAGGAGATAATATAATCTATAATAATAAAAGCATAATATGCTAATTAGACCGGAGAGCCAAACGACCTTCTGGACGTCCTTCCAGACGACCTTCCAGATGAAGCTGGGGCTGTGAGGACTGAGCCCCTTGCACGAATTTCGTGCATTGTGCCTCTAGTAAACAAATGTGTACAGTATATGGCTTGTTAAATGATGAAAGTACAAAGGATTAAAATAGAGCCAGAAATGGGGTAGTGCTGAGGTTGGATCACAATTGTAATAGGCTGGTGTGGTCATAGAATACCTCACTGATGAGGTGACATGTGAGCAGAGACCTGAAGGAGATGAGGAACAGGCCGTGAGGCTATCTGGGGACACAGCATTGCAGTCCAAGGGAACAGCAAGTATAGAACTGAGGTGACAGCATACTTGGTGTGTTCAAGGAACAGCAAAGATGCCAGCTGGGCCACAGGAGAGGGAGCAAGGGGAGAGGGAGAAGAGAGGCACTGTGTTTCTTGTGCATCTGGGAACCCTTTTTCTAAATCACATTTTAGTTTCAAAAAGCTCAGCTTTGTAGAATTACAGAATTGGGGCACAGTATGGCAGGCTGACAGAACTGAGGAAACTGTAGAGTGAGAAAGGTGTACTCCCCCTTTCTGCGGGCCTCGGAAATCTGGGGGGAGAGGGTTGTGGAAAGAGGGCATTCTCTCCTTATAAGTTAACGTCATGCTAGACCCTTCCATCTGTCCCTAGAAGGCATTCCTTTCATTCACTCAGGCTGAGGTGGTGGCTTCTCTGAACATCCCTTTCTTCTGGAAAGTAACCACTGCTCTGGCTTGTGCAAAGCGATGGGCCTCGCTCTGCGGTGATTTTAGTTTCATCCCATCAGATGTGGCTGCTGTCCTGAGCTCAAATCTCCTGCCTCTGCAGGGCTGGGAGTTCAGCTTGGGGAAGGAACAGGACGACACGGAGAGTTCCCCTTCTCCTTGCTCCTGGAAAGATCCAGTCTGTTCCTGAGAACTGGCCCAGGTTGTCAGGAAGTCAGGACACCAACCATCTCCACAAAGTGAAATGGAGAGGGTGGGACTTAGGTGGCAGGGGTCAGGAGGAGAGTGCCTTAATAACTGCCCGTGTTTCCTCCCCCAGGTCGCCTTAGAAATGCTTTTTACCGGGGAACCCATATCTGCTCAGGAAGCCTTGCTCCATGGGATGCTCAGTAGAGTAGTGCCGGAAGAGCAGCTGGAGGAAGAGACCATGAGAATCGCAAGGAAGATCGCTTCCTTGAGCCGTCCTGTGGTGTCTTTGGGCAAGGCTGCCTTCTACAAGCAAGTGCACCAGGACCTTAGAACAGCCTACCACCTGGCCTCCCAGACCATGGTGGACAATGTGGCCCTGCAAGATGGGCAGGAGGGAATCAAGGCCTTCATCCAGAAGAGAAAACCCGTCTGGTCACACTGAGCCGGCCTTAACAGAGGGATGGAGGGAGTGTGACCCAGTGAGCAGCACTCAGGATGCTCCCTGCCCCCCCACCCCAACCACCACTGCTGCCTCATGACAGGAACAGTAGACAGACTGCTTCTGTACCATTGGTCATGGTCCCACTGCATGGGGTCTGTATTCAAAGCCATGGTTCCTGGGGAAAGGATGAAACCGAGATTCAAAGGAAATCCTAACTTAAGGGTAGTGAGCACCTATGCTGGGTCAGCTGTGGTAATAAGCCTGGAATTTGATAAACTTCTTCATGGGACCTTAAGTGTGGGACCACCCTGACATGGAAGAAGGTGGCGATAAAATGAAGCATGAATGAAGGATGCCAACCTGCTTCTGTTATCAGAAATGTCCCATACGGTGGAGGTAGTTCTGGTTGCCCAGACACACGAACCATTTCCAATCTCCATGAGGTAGTCTCCACATTGCACATCTTCTTGGTTCTATTGAGAAAGAATCATGCCTATGGCTTTGGAATAATCTTACGTGACTTTAAAATATTAAGTATTTAGAGAGACTGGTATTTTATCTTCTTAACCAGAATGTAAGCTGTTTGAGGAAAAAAATAAATGAATTCTTTCTTTATATGCCTGTGCTATGGACACAGAGTAGGTGCCTGATGTTTTTGTAGTGAATGTCCTGGCCATTGGAGCTACTGTGAAACCGGGACCCTAGGCACAAACTGAGGATAAAAACATCAGGATAGGTGGGAAGGATGCAGAACACACATTCTACCCACTAAAAATCACCTGCTCTGGACATGCTTCCAAATTCTGCTCAGCTTCTGGTGAGAATCCACAGTAGCATCAGGCAGTTGAGTCCCCAGCTGAGCAAGGGCTTGGCTTAGGACCTAACCATGCTACTTTCTGGCTTCTGGTTCAGTCTGGCCCAAGAAATGTTCTAAATCTCCTGTCCTCAAGCTTGCCCAGCTTATCTTACGTAGAGTAGAAAGGGGTCCTAAATGTGGTTAGTACCAACCAAAGACGAGAAACGTGGCTCTAACCAGTGGCTCTCACTCAGGGCAAGCATTTCTTGGTATGATGTCCCCTAGTGGTTCACAGGTTTCTATTCAGATTGACATGTTTTTGTGTAGGTTTTTTTTTCTTTAACAAGTTTAGAAAGGTTAATAAAAGAGTTTTTTCTTGGAAAGGAAGAGGTTGTTCTAAGAGTGCCCCTCCTGGGCGGAAAGATCATTAGAGCTACCATCTGCTGGACACCTGACATGCTACATTCTCCTTCAGTCCTCGCCACACCCAGGGAGCAGGACCCACAGTGATCTCCATCTCACATGTGAGTAGCTGAGGCCCACTTGGTCCCAGATCAAACAGCTGACACTGAGTACAGTGAGGGTTCCAAACTCTATCTGCCTGGGGAAGCCATGGATGCTTTCTCCTGGCCACACTGCCTCATGGGGAGGCCAGCCCGAAGAAGTGACTTTCCTGCTCCATGGCAGCTCTCCAACCAAAATAACAGACCAGGCACTCCTTGCTACAGAACTCTGCCAGTGCGCAGGGGACATCGGATTTGAGTTATTGGCAGACCACTAATGGAGTTTTTCTACAAAACTAATAAAGAGCTGGCTGCAGTTCTAAAGTAGGTGGTGAAGGATAGAGCTGCCAGAACAGTGCTGTCAGTGGGGCCCCTACTGCACCCTCTCTCCAGGGCCTGCTGTGGCAGTCACTGTTTGGCAGTGCCAGATCACATAGCATAGAGAAGGTGTTATAAACTCTCAACTTTGGAGAAAGTAACAAAGCTGCCTCACACATTTGGCAAATGAAAAGCAAAGGTTAACTTTCCAGTGTCTGTGTGAGTCACACGATTCCCTCAAACCATGAAATCCTGGGGCCTCTGGGCTGCCTTCCCAGCCTATGAACTGATGTGCCCTCAGAGACTCGCTATAAATCTTAATAGTCTCTTGTGCATAAATAATCCCGAGTGAAAGTCTGCTACCTACCTTCTGATGTCATATAATTAACCCCAAGGCTAATAGAAATTTTGGGTTAATATGTATCTGCTTCCTTCCACTGGGACATAGAATGAACATTTTCTGCTAACGTGTCATGATTGCCTCTGGAAAGTCTAGTATATTTGTCTTTCCCTGTGTCATTTTACTTCTCAGGGAGCTTTGCTGAGCTCATCCCAGCAGTCATCACCCCAGTAGTATAGGGGCTGGAAGGCCAGTGAAACAGGTGTTCACTCCTGCTCACCTGGGCAAGACACCATTCCAACGGCTGGCCTGGGCCCTGGAAAATATAAACAAATGGAGCGGATGACTGATTAACTTTATAGGAGAGAACTGTCAGGCAGGCCAATGGAGTAGCTCTTCCTGTGCCCCAGCTGTCTGGGAGTTCAGAGAAGTGAAGGCATCTGCCACCATGGAGCCAGCACGTGGGCCTGGACCTGTATGGTTCTGAAGCCTGTGCTCCTGACTACCACACTACATTCCTCCCAAAGGCCTGGAGAGAAAGCCTGCCAGTGCTCAATGGCAGCCAGTCGGAAATGGCACAGCCAAGGCAACAGTTTTGCTTCCCAAAGAGGATACGGAAAAGCACAAATGGGAACACAAAGGGCTCTTAGTCCCAGGTTTGCCATCAACTAGCTGTGTCGCTGTGAGCAGGTGATGTAACCCTTTCAGGACTCTGTTGTCCCGTCATAAACATGGCACCCCTGGACACTTTTCCTCTTGCTTCTGCAATCCTGGTTTTGGAAACTTGAGTGAAACTTGAAACAGGAAGCTTTTGTTTGAAGAAAATGCTCTTTTATGAATGAGGAATATGAGCATGCCATTTTTACATTAAAAACACCTTATTACATTTGAAACCAAGAAATCTGTGACAGACAGAGGTTTTCAGGCCACACCTGAACCTTCTGATGTCATGGCTAGGAAGACCCTACATCAGGAAGATCACTATCAAAATTGGCAGCTACCCTTCCTTTGTCTAGGTGCATTACTAAGCTGCCCCCTCTCCTCTCTCCTTCCTCTGAAAACCCACTGTGCTAAGAGTATTTCTGAAGTGTGGCCCGTGGAAGGTCTGAACTGTCCAAGTGCAGACTCCTGAGCTCCTCACTAGACCTGCTGAATCATAAATTCTGGTTTGGGGACCCCAAAATATGCATTTTAAAAAGAGATTTCCAAGTGATTCTGCTGCACACTAAAGTGTGAGCTCCTGCACCAGGGCGGGCATGACATATCTCTCTGGCAGTGTCTACGCTGGAGCATCGGGCCTTTGTGGTGAATTGTGAGCAGTTGTGTGGCCTGGAGAGCACTGTGAGGAGATGACACTTCCAGGAGCCCCTTAAAGTCCTCCCCTGGGGCAGGTTTCAGGGGCTTCCTCAGCCCTCCGTGCTTAAGCCTTTGGAAGCCCCACCTCCTATCACATTAAGCACCAAAACACACCCATATTCTGCAGCAAATATAATTCTAGTTAGGAAAGGAAATGGAATTATTTGCTTTTTAAGATTTTAAAAATATTTGATTAATTAACAATGATTATTTCTGGGCAATCATCAAGTAGGTAAGAGTTAAATTCAACATTGAAATTGACATTTTGCAGTTAAAATATTAAATTTCACTCTTGCAAGGGCTTTTCATTTGTATTTTGGGCTCAAAACTTATTTTTCAGGTCCCAACCAGAGAACCATGAAGAGCTGTGCCTGCAGTATTTCTTGAATGGAACACTGGCCCACCGGGCTCACAGTTAGCGAGGTTGGCTGTTCCACAGGGAAATGGGGATGAGGAGAAGCAGTGGGTGAATCAGGTGTCATGAGGTTTATATACCCAGCATGCAGCCCTCAGACATCCTTATTGATTTTATATTGATATTTACTTCAAATCTCCCTGCCCTGCCCAGGAATGTTTAAGCACAAACACACAAAACAATTTGCAAGTTATTTTTACACATTTAAGAAATATTCCCATTTTATTTTATACTAGAGGCCCAGTGCACGAAAATTTGTGCACTGGAAGAGGAAGAGAGGTACCTGGGATGTGTTGCACAGAAGAAAGGCCATGTGGGGACAGAGAGAAGGTGGCTGTCTGGGAGCCAAGGAAAGAGACCTCAGGAGAAACCAATCCTGCCACACCTTGATCTTAGACTTCCAGCCTTCAAAACTCTGAGAAAGTAAATTTCTGGTTCAGCCTCCCAGTCTGTGGTATTTTGTTTTAGCAGCTTGAGTAGCCTATGTCATTCCCTCAAGCACCTTTGTCTCTGCCTCTCTGAGGGTGATTTTTGACATCCAAGAGCTTGCTCAGCTTCAACAAGGTCATCTTAGAAGTAGAGGGATATTGGGCCTCCAGGAACACTCCTCAAGCAACAACAGATGAGTCCATAGATAAATGCCCCAGCCTTGCATCATCTGTGGGAACAATTCTGAGATGTGTTTCCTGAGAAGATCCAGCAGGGTTGAGCATCATTGCTCACAGTACTGACTTGCTCGTTAATGAAAACCTCATTGGTTTTTCTCCTTCCCTGCCTGACCTTGGCCCATGCCCTCACTTGTTCTTCCTGGGGTTACTTTCCAGTACACAAAGTTCACACAGTCCTTGATTTGGTGTCTGCCACTGCAAGAACCCAAACTCAGTCAAGAAGTAGGTTCAGCCCAGCCAGGGTGGCTCAGTGGCTGAGCGTCAACCTATGAACCAGGAGGTCACCATTCCATTCCCGGTCAGGGTACATACCCTGGTTGTGGGCTTAATCCCCAGTGGGGAATGTGCAGGAGACAGCCGATCAATAATTCTCATCAAAGATGTTTCTATCTCTCCCTCTCAATAAAAATATATATATATATTTTAAAAAGAAGCAGGTTCATATTAGCCGCTCAGTGAACATCACCTCCCCTAATAAAAAAGTGAAAACAAGATTTACTAACAGAAGACCTGTTACCATAAAGCAACAGAATTGGTTTCTAAATGAACACCATAGATAGTATTATGGGACTCAAGAGAAACAATCAATTTGGACTCTTTGGTGAGCGAATGGGATCATCTATGTAAATCTTTGGCTTTTCCAGCCAGGCGGGATCTTGACTCTCAGTTAAGTACAAACTGTGACATCACACAGACAAGATATAAAAGATTCAAAAATATAGACCCACTCAGTATCAGAACCAAAAACAGGATCCTCTGACCAAAAGCTGGAGCAGCCTCCCTATAGATATCCCTTCAACACCGTCAGGCTTAACCACCCCAAAGTCTTCTAAACCTCCCTGACGTGCATTTAGCAATATTCGGGAAAAAGAGCAGGTATGTTGTCCTAAAAGCCCCCTCTAGAGGCCCCCTGAGAAGGAATTTATGAGCTGCTGCAGCTCTAGTTCCTTCTTTGACATTTATTGGCTTTTTGATGAATGTTAAAGCAATTTTTCTGTCAACAGCTTCTCATTAGGGGTCTGGTGATATTCTCGCTGACCATTATTTTAATCAATACCTTGCCTGGTCACTGTGAGAAGAGGTTCCACTCAGAAGCATCCATCTTTGAAGCAGCAAATAGCTTAGGTAATCCTACTTAAATACTCCTCCCGCACTGGCAGCCGCTAGGGCGCACACAGAGAATTTAGACAAATGGCCAGCCTTTAACGAATGGCTCATCTTCTGGCCTTGTGCCTCTCCATTCCTTTAATGACATATTTCAGGCTTGATTCTCTCTGTTTCTTTTTAAAATAAATTACGGAGAACTGGGTGAAATAATCACTAGGACTTATTTCTTAAAGACGACAGGTTCTCACCATGATTGACAAGTGTGCTTGGAAAGTCTGGAACAACAGGCATTAGAAGAAGAAGGCGTCCACTTTTCTTAATGGACTGTTTTCTTTGCCCTTCAAATGCACCGTCTTAACACACTTATGTATCGGGAGACATGTGGAGCGCCTGTCATTCATTAGCATCAATGCCAACCTTCATGTGCCCCCCTCCACCTTCCTGCCGTCAAATACACGACTCTAACCTGGAATATTATATTTTTAAAGGGTTTTTATTGTGACCAAGATCAAACATGGAGAAGTTGGGGGTATGTGTGATAAATTATCAGGTTCACATTACCCAGCTTTAACAATTATTAATGAATGATTTATCAATCATACCGGCCAATCTTGTATTATTTGCCCCCTTCCCACCCCAAACTATTTTGAAGGGATTCCCAGAGTAACCTTATTAGAACAAAAGACACTCCTATTGTTATAGGCACCTCTCACCTACACAGAGAGGTGTTACCGGACAGCCCCCTGAGTCAGTGGGAGAGGGCTGTTCCCAACGGTGATCCTACTCTTCTCATATAAATGAATTTATAGGAGAGACCTTGACTACGTTGTGAAAGGCCAACTTATTAAAGCAATTTAAGCGTGCGCCTTTATTGAAAAGGCAAAGCAAGCAAACCTACACATCTGGCTTATGAATTTGTATGTGTACAGCCCAGTCCTGTTAAGATGCTCTCAGAATGGATAACAGCATTTGCCTCTGGGAGAACAATGGGTAGTGGGGTCAGGATTAAAGGGAGACTTACTTTTGCACTGAAAACCCTTTTGTACAGTTCAGTTTTTTAAAACATATGTACATATTACTATCTCTAAATTCCTCTGCTGACTATTTTGGTGCAGATTAATTCTCAAGGTCCCTTTTTTATACTTTGCTGTGGCCTTCTCAGAACTCAGGGGAAGCACCTGGCACTTTATCTTGCCAGGCCTTGAGACTGCTGGCTTCTCTGTTTAAGGAGTAAAACTGCCCTTTTTTCCTTTCCCCTTTCTCGCTCCCTTTCTATATTCTCTCACTAGGGAAGTTTTTTAACCATTTGTTCTCGTGTCCTCGGCTGGGGAAGATAGTGGTTTGTTAGTTACAAGCTGGCTGCAAATTGTCCACACTGTTTGGCCTCGTTTTATCTCTCCTGTCTGTTTCCCTATTCCTTCTGCCCTGGAATCCTGTAACATTATTACCCAGAAAATACCAAGGGATTTAAGGGCTCTGTGTCAGAAACTGGGGTAAAAGAGCAAATATTAGAACAAGGGATGCTCCTGATGCTCTTATCACTGAGGAAACGACAAGGGTCTTGGGAGCCCTGTGCCAGGACCCGGGGCCAGAGGCCAATGCAATCAGTTTCTCCTACCTCCAAGCAACACACTTGTATGCCTTGCCCTCCTGTTTCTTGCTCCTACTCTTGCTCCCTGGGGTCACTTTCCAAAATAAACTACCTACAAGCCAGCTTGGGGCTCAGGTTCTACTTTCTGGGGGAACGCAGGCTATGATACCAGCTCAGGA